AACCTGCCCCGCCATCTAAATTAAGTTGAAGTTCCAGTTCAACTCCGCCTATAATCCGATGGGACATACCATATCTCAATTCACAGTCTGACTTGGCCGATCCGGGCCTAGATTTAGTAGTTGCCTACGTACTGTAACATACACACACACGAACACTGGTAAAGTTAGCTGTATACGCCCGTGGCGCTAAATATCCTAATTCAGCAAAGCCTGTTTAGGGACGGGGAGAGTCCGGTGAGGAAAAGCCGCACCCGCCTTGCTACGGCATGTAGCGCCAGAATTGTCTATGTGAAAAGTAAAAAGACTGAAGAAGTTCAAGAAGCACAAAGTTTGGCCAGAGAGACACGGATTTATGGCAAGGACGAAATCGTAGTAGATATGCTAAAAGGAGCGCTAAAACGTTTTAGACGGCGGGATTCAAATATAGCGAAGTGGCGCTATTTCGGGCAAGGATGGGAAGATTGTAGTCCATCTCCTATCTTATAAATTAGGTTTACTATCGAATTCTCGTATCTGATGTTTTCGCTGTTTTTGCTTAACTGGCATAATGATTTGGTGCTATCTAGAGAACAAAAAAAAAAAGCAATTAAGAAATTACTGAAAATAGTTTGTAAAAAAGTTCGATACGTTTAAATTGCAGGTCTTTATAGATGACTGTGAGGAAGTGCGCTCACTGAATCGCGAACGAGTTTTGAAATTTCTAACACATGAGTGTCTTGCCACAGTTGTTCCGTATTTGGTCAGTTTTTTTGAATTTTTGCCAAGTATCACACCGTAAACTTTCCTAATGTGCAGATATTTAGGAACATATCATCTACAAGTGGAATGAGGATGCACCTAAATTTCACGAAGCCTTGGGTGAGCACTATATTGCGAAGGTGAAGCAATTACTGAGGGATTATATCAATGTCCTGAGAGAAGGTAATCACTGCTTGGAGAGCGCATGAAACACGAAATCCAAAAACTTGGGTTTTTAAGAAAAGCAGCGACCTAGGCTGAAATATTATCTTATTAGTTTGAGAATTTATATATTAGGGCCGATTTTCATATCGTTAAATCTTAATGTTTATTATCATGCCGTTCTGAAAATGCTGCCACCGAAGCTTGTCTAAAATCCATCGGCGAATTTGTTTAGAGACTGTGGGTAACGAGTCTTTTTCCCCGCCATTTGTTTTGCTGCAATAATGAGTTCGTACTTTAATATTTTTCATAAATTTTTCGACAAGTGAAGTTTTATGCGCTTTGTGCTGAGTAAAAACTTTTATGGGATGAGTTGTTTACGTATGTGGATCGCTGTGTGGCGTGGTGCATTGACTGGAGGGCCAATTAGATAAATGATAAGTTTTATGTCTTACTTATTATGGCGCAGACAATAGTAAAAATACACAAAGCGTGACGATTGGGCTCTAACGAACGGGATGGCCTGCATAGCGGGGAATTTAGCAAGGGGGTTCCGAGGTTGAATAGTTTTGGCTTCGGGACGAAGGTGTCCGAGTCCCAGTAGTGTCCGAAGATTGCGACGGCGGGAGTTGTAGCTGGCGAGCCAGGGTTGATGTTGGTCGAGGAGAGTGAAACCGACGAAGAAACTGAGCCGAGCCAAGAAGAATGGTAGGGAGGTCTGTAAAAGGAGTTAGGGGCCGCCCCATGGGATGATGTAATAATTTGGAGGAAATTTAGGAATTTGAGGAAAAGGGAGATAAAAGGAGATGATAAAGGAAAAGGGAGTAGGGGTAGGGAGCCAAAAGAAGATAAGTGGAAAACGAAAAGGTTTTTGTAGGTGTAAAAAAAGGAAAGGACGAAAGTGAGGGAAATTGTAAACACACAGGAATGCAATCGACATTCCTGACTCATCGGCTAAAAAAGAGAAAAAAAAAGGTTATATAATTTTACAATTAGAATTACATATTTTACAGCTGCAACAGTTGCACAAACCACGTGTTGTTGAGACCCTATTTGTGTATGTGTTTCGAGTGCATTTTATCCGGAGGTTTCAGCTCGAGAAACTAGGAAGCTGGAATTTCAAGGGGGATTCCCTACCGGTGTTTCTCAGCGTTCGCGCACGCCTGGGATTCACTTACGGTTACGTGAAAGTTTTGGCGCCTAAGTGAATAACTCGAGAAGCATGAAAGGTAGGAAGCTGAAATTTTAGGAGAACGTTCCATGCCCGCATTTGACATAGTAAAGTTAAATTCGGCTTTCATTTGCGCTTAGGTCTTATGTACTGGCGCGTGAAAGTCTTGGCGTTCACGAATTCATTCCCTCGTACGTCATATACGAAAAATTGAATGTTTGGCGTCAAAACAACCATCCAACTTATCAGACAGTGATGCAGTTGGAACTTTTAACAGCAGTGCTCTCCTGGACAGAGCTGCATAAGCGTCGGCTGGATAGGGTTGCAAAAGTGTCCGCTGGACAGAGTTGCACAGGTGTTCACTTGACAGAGTTGCACAAAACGTATGACTGCACCAGTTACCGTGGTGCGCACCGCTGATTATTTAATTTTTGAATAAATTTTGCTGTGTGAAGTAATCCTTTTACAGATGAGAATGTCGCGCCTGCCGGTAAAGAAGATGGTGAGCTTGGCGAGTACCGGCGCCGGCTGCAAAATTTTTTGCAAATGTCTACAGCATATAACCCAGAGAAATTGCTGGTTCAGCTGCGCCATGATTGTTAGTCGTTTAAGCATATTTCACCTTTAACAACAAATGCCGTTTTTGTAATTAATTTTCACTAAACCACTAAATGAAAAACCAAAAATTGTGCAATAAAGCCTTGATGACCCAACAAACAGTCATCGAAACTATTCCTGTGATTGGTTTTTGACAGCGATGCACTGTCTGGGTGATACGGCGCGAAAACTACGCCAGTCGTCACTCCATTCGCAATGAAAACAGCATTTACAGTTGCAGATATTTGGATTGCAATTGCTTCGTTTGGTTAGTTGTTGCTCTACGCTTTTGAATTTGGGTGATTTTTCTAAACCATGAATTGCAGCTCTTTATGAAGAAAGGGCTTTGTTACTTGGACGAATGAAAAGGCATCAGCAAGCTTTGGCTATCTATACTCAGATTTTGAAGAACTATAAACTTGCAGAGAAGTACTGTACCAATTACTTCGACCCTCAAGATCCAGAACATTCGAAGGTAATCAGTCTTATGGTGAAGGCTAGATGTGTGAAAATTATGGAATAGCTAATACTGCGGCGCAGTATTTTTACACTTTAAGCGTTCCTTCAACAAGATGCCAGCAAAAAGCTTAGGAAGTGAATGCTTTTCTTTTATTTCTGACGTATTAGACTTCCCAGTTCGACGACTCAGAGCTAAATTCAAATAGTCCATTCGTATGTAACAGTGGGATACGCAGAATTAGAAGGTGGCTACATCCATGTTAGTTCCTTTTAATGAAAATGGCATCTCATCCTGTCTTGGCCACTTCTTTTTTATGCGTTTTGTGCTGGGTAACAGCAGTACAAGACACGTATTGTCACGGGGTTGTCTGTGTGTGTTTGTGTGTGTTTGTTTGTGTGTGTGTGTGTGTGTGTGTGTGTGTGTGTGTCTCACATTTTGTCCCGCACTTTCAACTTGGGAACCACAAAAGCCAGGCGGCTGAAATTTTAGTATAGTGTTCCGCGCCGGCGTGTGACACGACAAATTTAAATTCAACCTTCCCGTACCCGTAGGCAACACATACGATCACGTATAAGACAATATGGGCCGTGTGGACCTTACCCACATCACAGGAATGGAAAGCCAAGGACGGAGTAAGAACAGTCCGGCCGGAGGCAACAGACCAGTAATTCGAAAGGGGTGAAGGCTAATTGTTAAGTGGGAAATGTATGTAAGCCGTTTGTCATGTAAAAGGACCTGTAAAAGTTTTGGCGGCTAAAATTATTATCACGGGAACGACGTAAGCTAGAAGACTGAAATTTTGTGTCCCCCGCTCATGTGCTACCCAGAAAATTTAAATTCAGCTTTCCCCTGCTTCTTGCCTACATACGACCTTGTAAATTCAAATTTAGCGTTTCCGCATTCTCGGGTATCACGGCCCCGTGGAAATTTTCTGCGGCTAAATTATTATCTCGAGAACCACAAAGTCCACAAAACTGAAATTTTAGGTTAGCGACCCCTTGCCCACGTACGACCTTACAAATTCAAATTCAGCATTCCCACGTTCTCGGGTGTCATTTACGGCCTCGTGAAAATTTTGGCGAGTGAACTGTTATCTCGGAAATCACGGAAAGATATTCACCGCTCAAGGTTTCAAATTCAGCTTTCATACGCCGGTGCGTGAAATTTTTAACTGTTTTTCAACTTTTCAACTATTTTTGCATAGACTAAAGTACAAAGCAGTGAAAGTTATAGGCAATCTTTTGGTGAGCTGAATTGCACAAAAGGCATGATCGCACCGGCTAGTCTGGTGCGCGTTGCTATTTATCTTCACTGTTGCGGAAATTTAGTCGCATCTACCGGCGTTGCGCAACTTTCCATCTCCTCAAGCTTGTTTTAGTAAACCGGATGCATCTTTTGCCTTTCAACTTAGTTTGCAGTAACAGCAAGCTTTTCCACTGTCCAAGGGGATTGCTTCCGGGCTTCATTCCTTGTTACTTTTTTGCCATATCATGATTGCTCGAGTCCACTTTGGTCATTCGGTCAGTATGGGTGTTTTACGTTGTGTCTCGAATTTTCGATGCTGCTGGAAGACGAATAGAAGTGAAGTTGATTGTCCTTCAACAGAATAAATTTTCTTCTGTAATGTGTATTATCGTTATGCTTTTTATAGGTGTTTTTAATTCTTTTACAAATGTACACCAGTCCACCAGACATCTCCATTGTTGGATTAATGCAAAACGAGCTTTACCAAGCGGCTCCAAATCCGGCGGAGGCTATTAGGATATTGAAGGAACATAGCGATGTCTTTGATACAGGTCAACATGTAAATGAATTTTTTACAAATTCTATTTTTAGAAAGGCGTCTTGGACGGCAAAAGCTAATACAGCGCCTTGCACTTACGTTTTTCATTTTAATTGGCCTTTTCGGAGGTTTGCTGCTGTGGGCAAAAAGTATAGATACTGTAGGAAGTAAGTCGAAGATAATGGGAACACAGTTCTTATCTGATGACAGAACTCGTACTAGCTTACGCGACGAAGTGGTGATGTAAATTGTACGCTGTTCAATAGAGCACTCAGCAATACTCAACCCAAATTTAGATGGAGAGGAAAGAACGGGAAATAAGAGAGTGGAGGGTAGATGGGAAGAAGGGAGAGGGAGTAGAGAGGATTAACAACGTCTGGAAGTCTCTCCAAGCGGCTTTTTCAAATTCCGTTAGTTTTTTGTGTTGCCTGCCTTGCAAAGGTCAACAGCTTATTTCGGTTAAAATTCAAATAGCATCAGTGTAGATTCACTGTGTGCTATTTTGTGTCTGTATTGTGTTGAAGAATCCACGTTGACAAGAATTTTTAATTTGCAGTGGAGGCAGTCGCATCACTGCCTTTGGATTACACGCTGAAATGCGTATGGCCTGGCGTTGCCACCATTCTGCAGGCAATACATGACAGAAAAGTCGCTGTAAGCCTATCTTATAAATGGCATTACATCTCTAGATAGCATGTTGTGAAAATTTTACGAACGAGAGCCACCAGTGGTTAACTTCCAGTGTAAATTTGCTGTGTTCGTGTTTTAAGAATACAGTTGAAGAACTGTCGTAGCATTTTTAAGTGCTCTGTCGGAATTATTGAATTGGCGATCTTTTGGAAGAAAATTTTTCACTTTTAAAACTGTAAATCAAGCAATGTTTACTAAAAATTTTTGCTTTTCTCTGATTTGTTGAAACTTCTTTCATTCAGACAATGCTGCATAGATGCGCTTGCGACGCAGCACTGAAACGACTTCTGTGGCGTCGAGCCAAATCGCATTCCGTGAAATTTGTCGTGGATTACACGAGCGAATGTGCTGCATGTGGCAAAAGAGTTGCCAACAGGTTTCTTTACAAATCTTGCCACTTTTTTGAGCTGGAATGTAAGTTGCTTCTTAGAAGCTTGCTTCGTACTGCGTGTACAGCTCAAACTTGTGGAATTTTTGTTGTTGGCTGTTAGAAGATCATCTTAGAGGGAATTTTGACGTATACTGGCAACTCCGCCAGCGAGCATGGCGCAGTGGATTAGCACTGTTATGCACTAGGTTGAGGGTTCTACTCTACAGTCCCTTTGCGATTCGAGGCAAATTGTTATTGGCATTTGCTAGGCAGATAAATCCGTTACTAAATTGCTTCTAAGCGACCCTCAGAAGAGAGAGCAACCAACAACCTTGCCAGCTGGTGGATACCGTTGGCATTTGATACCATCCAAGCTGCTTCCCGAGTGCCTCCACCTCTCACTGAGAGCGAAATACGGAGGGGGTTTTGGCTTTTTGACTGACAGCTTTGGTAAGCAGAGTAACGATGCTGTAGTGAATGCTGCTAATTGAAAATTTATTCATATTTTATGTTTTACCACGTTTCACTACCCACAAAAGGCGAAGACGCTTGTTGATGGTGTTTTGAGTGACAGTACCATTTTCAGCAGTGACCAGGCGCTAGCTCGCCGTCGTTGATTCGATGCATCAGTTATGTCTTTTATGAAGTAGTGGTTATTTCCAGTCTGTAAATCTCGGGTTTTTTTTTTCCAGTGCCTTTGCTCGATATCCGAACGGACGTTTGGAACATTTCTATTGTTATCAGAAACAGTGAAATGTTCGATGACACACATGGCGGATTTAAAAGCACCGCACAGTAAGGCGCTACTCGTTATTTATCACCAATTTTTCCCCTCTCTTTGGTGCTTGAAGCTCAGAGCCGTTTGGTTCAGTTCACTAGTGTCGAGCGGACTTTAGCAACTTTGAGTCGAATTCGGCATTTCCCTATTGGCTGCTTTCAACCATGACTTCCACTTATGTTTTCGTCACACGTCAATTTGGGCAGCTGCGTGCTTCCAGATGTGCTGGACTGTTCACCGTTACAGATGTGCTACGGATTTAAAAAAGTTTATTGATTGTTTTAATGTTGCTGTTAATAATGCTTGTTTTAGATTTTGCGCAGTTCTTTAGCATATATCGAGATTATCTCATTTCAGAATAAAATTTTTTGTGATCTTAGATTCGCTAAGAGCCGAACTTGTCAATAAATGATCAACGCGCTTATGTTAAAATTTGTTTCTTGCAGAAAATAAGCGCTATCACTTTTTAAGGGCTTTGGAGGGAGGCTCTTTCGCTCTCTGCTAATTCTTTGACAAAGTGGATCTGATAGTCTTCAGAAACTTGGTCGTTATGAAGGGCAGTCTGGCATTTTCCTTTTTTCTGAGAAACTGCTTGGCTGTCTGCGGCCAGACTTGCAGATTTCTGAGTATAATCTGGAAAAGTTTGATGCAGTACTTGTATAAATTTTTTGTAAATACAACCAAATATAAGTAAAATATGCGTTTGTTTGTTGCGTTCTGGGCTTTAATCACTTTTTTTACAATGGGCATATTTGTGGTGGTTGGAAAATTGAGTTCGTAGGGCCAACAACTGCACCAGTTAATTTTTTTTCAGACATATGAAAAAAAACCTGACTTGTGATTCTTTTTTCTCGCATTAGTCCTACTTTCAAATACGGCTGTCTCAGATCGTCTTTTGCACGGAACAATTTTGGAAGATTTCATGGCTTTTATGAATCTTGTATGCGTAGAGTTTTAGCGATGGCTTTTGGATGTACTGCTTTTCCGGTTGGCTTTGAGCATACCTCTGGGGCAAAAGGAGAGTCAAAATTAATATGCCAGTGTTCGTTCCTTAGTTGTGCGTTTTACACTGTGATTGTTCTGGACGACAGTGCTTTCATGCTTGGTTGCCTCCGAAGTGCTTTGCGTTTATAAATAAAAAAATGTATTGAGGGCATAAGCCTGTGTTGTGCAAATATGACTGCATTTTGTGAGAACGGAAGTGGAAAGAAATGTCTTCATTGCCTAAAACCGTAAAGTAAAATAGGCATCGTGCGACAAGACAAAAGCATTTATCTGTGGATTTTTATCCATCACAGGTATCTGCAGGCATACTTTCTGTCCTAAAGGAAGGGGGATGTCTTTGCTGCACTGGTGTTTCGTTTGCTGCTTTTATTTGTTTCCGTATAGGTCTTTTAAATTTTTTTTTCAAATTTTTTAACCTTGATCTCAATTTTTGTTTCCCAGCACTTCTGGCTAATTCTGCTTTTATTTTGGTTAAATTTAAGAGATTTTCATTCCGCTCGACGGTTTGATGCGAAAGAGAGTTTCCCTCCTCTCTTTTTCTGGTGAGAAAAGAGTGGGGTGCCACCAGTCTGAGTATGGTTGGAGGTTTCCACAGATATGTTAGCTGCACGTAATGACATTAGCAGTGAATTCGTTGTTGAGCGAAAATTTGGCTGATTCTTCAGATCCGCACTGAGAACTGTTGTTCCGTTTGCTATGTTGGATGACTGGCTTTATTGAGAGCCGCTTTCAGGAATATGTAAAACGTAGGGCGAACAGAAGCGGCGGTGTTGGCTCTTACAAATAACCAGCTGACGATGACGACACCAGACGTTTTTTCACTACCACGATTATTATAATGGAAGTTAGAGGAGCTGTTCGTACTGAACAGTTGGTGATGTTGCGAGTTGACGCAGTACACGTAAACGAGTGAACAGGATCAGCAGAAGCACGAGTAGTCCAGTGAGGTAGAGTAGCACTGTAAGGATAACAATGAATAAACTTGAACTGGATACTGCTTCAGCGGATCTTACCAGCCGCTCATCCATACATTCGCTTATCACTGTATCCACTCTCCAACCATTCCAACGAGCTGGAAAAACGGACATGCATATCAGACTTCGATATTGGAGTGGTACGGATACATGCCTGCTTCTAGGAATATGAACGTACGGTGCTACAGTGGCTCCCTCCATTTCATCCCATTTATGCATGAATTCGAAATTCGCCCACATTATCCGCTTTCCCTCCACATGTGTTTTTGAGTCGAGCATGTAAGTCTCTCTGTTCATATGTTCACTCTGTTCAGCCACTGAATTGATGCGAACCAAAATGGAGGAGGGGTGGGGGGCAAAACTACGGAATACCTCGCTCTGGAGCTGAGCTGCAATTCGAGGTCTCGCATTTGTTGAGCCCGGGTTGCGCAAATGCGGCGTGGATGCCACCATGAGGTGCGATCGGGTCATTACGGTATGGTTGGACAAAGGATAAGCTGACCACCGTTTGCCTCATTTTACTATCTCTTAGGCGCTTGCGTGAAATGGGTTGGATTTTGCGTGTAGGTATTTGCATTTTGTATCCTTCCATGCAAATGACCGCCAGTTAAGGATTTGGGCATCCCTCGAAGAGGATCTCCCCGTCCTTCCCTCTTCGACGCACATCGCTGTTATAAACCCAGTTGCCACCGCACCGACTGCCGGTGCATAGATGCGTTTTGTACTGCAACAGTTGCACGAAACGCTTGCTGTAGAGACCTCGTGTGTGTATGTGCGTGTGTGTGTGTGAGTGTGTATGTGTGTCTGGGTTTGTGTTCCCGAGTGCATTTTATCCGGGGGTTTCAACGAGAACCAGAAAAGCTAGGAAGTTGAAACTTTAGCACAATGTTTTCCGCCAAATTGCGAACAGGCATACTTAAACTCAGTTTTTGCTCGCCCCCGGGTACCACGTACGGCCCCGTAAAAGTTCTAGCGGAGAACCACAAAAGCTGGAGAGCTAAAATTTTAGGATAATGTCCTCTGTCCACGTGCGATGCCGTGAATTTAAAATCAGCCTGCCCAAGCGCCTGGGCATCGCGTACGGGAAGGCTCCATGAAAATTTTGGCGGGGAAAATTATTATTCGAGAGCAAGGACAGTGTGTTTCTGCTATGCAGGGGCCCAAAAATTCAAACTTAGCTGCCAGGTATGACGAGCTCTCACGAACGACCACATGAAAGTTTTGACCCGAAAGCTATTCGGAAGCCAGAAAATTAGGAGATTGGAATTTTGGGACAAAATCCACTGTCCAGGGTTTCAAATTCAGCTTTCACATATGTTTGCGTTTCACGTACTAGTACGGTAAAGTCATGCGTTTCATGTACTAGTACGAGTACGTGAAACTTTTAATGGGACATTCCGCAGTTTAGGAATCAAACAGCATATCGATTATTTTTCCACAGATCAAAGTGTAAAACAGTGAAAATCCTTAAACAGAAACGGTCACTCGTCGAAATTGCACAAAACGCATGACTTTACCGGCTACCTTAGTGCGCGCTGCTATTTACTCGCGTTATTTTCCGCGGAATTGTTAATGTGAGCAGTTATAATAATGG